GAAGTTCATTTTCATTCAATTCCATTTTTCCATAAACTTTTTTAAGTCTCCTCACACACAAACATGTTAATACACAGTAAAAAGAACTTGAAATATACATACATCAAAATATAATTACTCCTCAAGAGATGGGGGAAGAAGTCCAAGGATCCATCATTAAGATATTAAATTTTAAGAAGAAGAATGAATTCATGTATTACTGAGTAGATAGACATAGAAGCCCTGGTGGCTCAGTTGTTAAAGTGCTTAGTTGATAACCAGAAAGTTGATGGTTCCAATCCATCAACCAATGTGCAGATGAAAGAAGCGACAGTCTGATTCCATAGTGACTTAGACCCTTGGAAAGCTATGGGCCAGTTCTAGTATACCACACAGGTTTACGATAACTCAAAATTAACTTAACTGACTACAGTTTTGGTTTGGTACATGAAAAGGGTTCTCATTCTTAGGCCTCACTGCTAACTTAAAGTTCAGTTTTTCAAACCCACCAGCCACTCTAACTGAGAAAGGTGTGGCAGTGTGCTTTCCTAAAGATTTACAGCCTTGGAAACCCTATAGGACAAAGTGGCTCTACAAAGGAAGAGTAGAACTGAGTCAAAATCAACTCAATGGCAACAGGTTCATTGGGTTTGTGGTGGGATAATGCACTGGATGGAAAGGTCGATTGGAACTGCAAGGTCAGCAGTTCAAATTCACCAGCTGCTCCTCAGAAACCTTATATAGGGTTGCATGAGTTGGAACTGACTCAATAGCATTTAACAACAACAACCTGAAAGTCTCTAATTCTCAGGCTTAGTAAAATGCCCCATTTCTGCATTTCTCTATAGTTTCTGTACAAATCCAATAGGGCACTCAGCTCACCATCCATCATAAAGACTGGTCTTCTTGGACTTCATCACGTACAATATAAAAACTGTCTTTCTTCTCGGCATGTCAATCATTACTACAGTGTCTGCCATGTTGTATGCAATGTTTATTGAACACGTATCCTGAAACTCTCAAGCAATTACGTTATTCAAGGAAAAGAATCATTGGGCTACTTTTAAAAGGTCACTAGCCAGAAAATTTCTTTTAAATGTAGACTTTTGAAAAACAATTTGGTATAGTTATTAAAAAGCTTGACAGAGTTAAAATGGTCTAATTATAAACTGAACTCCTTATGACAGACTGTAATCTCTGACACGATTGTTAATCATCATTTTCCTCAACTATAATACATGGAAGAGAATATTTTGTTCTTAGATCCACAGGGAAGATTAAAAGGAAATGTGTATATATTAATTAGCACAGTACCTGATACTACTAGGAATAGCTGGGTGGCACAAACAGTTAAGCATTCAACTACGAGCTGAAAGGTTGTACGTTCAAATCCACCCAGTTATGTCTTGGAAGACAGACCTGGTAATTTGCTACTAAGGGTCACAGACTTTGAGACCCTATGGAGTCATTCTTTCTACACACGGGGCTGCCAAGAACTGGCACTGACTTGATGGCAACTGACAATAACAACAGTACTGCTATTTATACTCAAATGCATCTGATGGCACATAACAACAGATTTTTCACTATCAGGAAGTCCTAATAAAACTTTGAAAATGTCTACCTAACTTCTAAAGGAGCCCTGAGAGCATAGTGGATTACAAGCTAACCAAAAGGTCAACAATTCAAATCTGCCAGCCACTTAGCAGGAGAAAGACAACACTTTCTGTTCTTGTAAAGATCCAAGCCTTGGAAACCCTATGTTGTTGTTGTTAAGTGGCATCTAATCAATTCCAACCCATAGTGACCCAGTATAGGGTTTCCAAGGAGCAGCTGGTGAGTTTGAACCACCGATGTTGCAGTTCAAACGACTTTGCAGTCTGACGCATTAGCCCACAGCGCCACACTAGGACTCCTGGAAATCCTATACAGGGGTGCTATTCTCTGGTAGTGTAGTGGTTACGAATCGGGCTGCTAACCTCAAGGTTAGCAGTTCGAAACTACCAGCGGTTCCACTGGAGAAAGATGAGGCATTCTGCTCCTATAAATATTTACAGCCTCGGATACCCTGTGCAGGTCACTATGAGTCGGAACCGACTCCAAGGTACTTAACAACAACAACATTATGTGTCAGAACTGACTCATGGCACAAAACCACCACCACCTAACTTCTAAGGAGCTCTGGTAACATAATGGGTTATGAGTTGGACTTCTAAGTGCAAGGTAAGTAGTTCAAATCTACCAGATGTTCCGTGGAAGGGTTTCTGCTCCTATAAAGAGTTACAGGCTTGGAAACCCTAAGCAGGTTTGCTATGAGTCAGAAACAATTCCATGGCACGTAACTACTACCACCTAACTTCTAGCAAATAACAAATCCAGAAAGTCTACCTAATGTGAGTTATGAAACTAATAATTTGAAGTTTCCCAGGTCTGTGTAAGTAAAAGGAAAAAAAAAGAAGAAAGCTGCAATTAATTTAGCACAGTGACTTCCATACTGATACACTCTAATTATTCACTTTTAACCTTCATTGAAATAATTAAGGTTTTAATAATCTTACTCCACAGAGTCTTCATATTCAGTTTATATACATTATTAAACTGTATACCACGATTCTTTTGAGGCATGCATTAACTATCTAAGTTATTAATTAATATGCCAGAAGTGTTCAATGATGCTCCTAACAGTTAACTGGCTAAGGAATCTTTTCTGAAAACATAACCAAGAAGTTTACACTGAAGTTCACAGGAAGCTTTGGATAAAGATCTATAGTTAATTTGTTTGAAACTACTATTTATTTTGAGTTGCTATCTTTAATATTTTTTTGAAACCACTGAGCATTTATATTTAGCCTCATAACCCATTACAACGTTATTATAAAATGAGTACATCTTATATCAGACAACCAAATGCATAGTCTAATTTTGCAAATAATTTTTTCGGCATCTAGTATATTCTAGACTGTAAGAGGACAATATAAAAAGTTGTTCCCAACATCAAAAGCATCATAAAAACAAGAAATCTGTAGGAGTAAAGAAAATTCAAGGAGCAGCTGGTGAGTTTGAAACATCAACCTAGTGGTCCAAACAGACCTTGCAGTCCAGAGCATTAACCCACAATTGTTGTTGTTGTTGTTGTTGTTGTTAAGTGCCGTCGAGTCGGTTCCGACCCATAGCGACCCTGTACAGGGTTTCCGAGGGTGTAAATCTTTACGGGAGTAGAAAGCCTCATCTTTCTCCCGCGGAGCGGCTGGTAGTTTCGAACCGCTGACCTTAAGGTTCGCAGCCCGATTCGTAACCACTACGCTACCAGAGCTCCTTAATTAGTTTCCTTAAAATATGTATGTTCTTTCTTTAATCCACTGATATTAAGCAAATTCAATCACCCCAAAATTTAAGCTTATTATGGATAGGTAGAAAGGCAAATAGACAGACGGGTATGTGTGAGAGTGCAACATTTTCTTTTAGCCAATTACTTCCTCTGCAAGACAACACATCTGCTCCAAAACAAATCAAAGCAAAACCACCTGTAAACTCATTGCAGCACATTATCTGTGCTTTCTCTATAATTTTGTATCACAATACATGAGGGGTAAAGTGAGCCAAGAATGGGGCCTAGTCAATCAACAACAGCTGTAGAGGTAATTGACTCTTAATTATTCTTCCACAGTTGTAAAAAGTTATTTGAACAAAGAAATATTTATCAAAAATTATTTGCAGTGATTCTTTTTCCTCAGCCCCTTAAAATCGTTCTCCCAGCCCAAATCGGATGTAGATGATTTTTTCTGCAGCAGGAACTGAGAGAATTAAACACAATTCTTCCTTTGTGTGGTATTCAAGACAAAAGCCATTCTATAAGGGGGAAAATAGTAAATCTAACAAAAAAAACAGTTATTCATTTAATTAAGGAACAGAAACTTTCAATTATTGTAACATAGCTCACCTGTTCATTTTTGCATAGCCACACGCTGTTTCCACGTAACACAGTGAAGATTTTGGATTTATAGCCTCTCAATTCAAGATAGCCACATTTCTCAGGTACAACAACTGCTTGAGACTGTGAGGTAAGGGACTGCAATTTCAGTGCATTTAACAAGATGCTGATCCAGTCATTTCGCTCTTCTGTAAATGAAGACAGGAGAAATGCATAAATCCATCTCTATATAAGTTATATACAGAAGACGACAGCACAGAATTGGGCAGTGTTTTATTCTCTTATACACAGGGTTGCTAGGAGTTGGAACCAACTCGATGTAATCTAACAGCAGCATACAGATACATAAATATAAACAAATCATTCACAGATGCTTTCCCACAATGATAAATATAAATACTATTGTGTTGTTGTGGTTAAGTGTGGTCAAATCACTTCTGACTCATAATGATCCTATATAGGGTTTCCAAAGCATGGCTGGTGGGTTCAAACTACCGAGTTTGTGGTTAGCAGTCTGGTGCTTTTCCTACTGTACTACACCAAAACAAGCAAGGAAAAATAGCTCATGTCTGTAAGGGAAAAGAACAGCACTACACCTAAGTAGTCCTAAATCGGCAACATAGGTTTCACCTGAGAACTTGTAAGAAATGAAAAATCTCAGGTGCCACACCAGAACTGGCAATAATGACCTGCATTTTAGGAAGATCCTCCTGGGTTTCTATACATGGGTATTTACCATTGCTACAAATACATTCATGAATGTGTGGAGCATCCAGGAGGCAAAATTATGAAAACTTTTAGAAATCACTAAACACCTAGAGGCAACAAGTTGTTGGGCCTAGGGACTTCGAACCATAATCTCATGGGACATCATGGTCAACTGGCATAACACAGTCCCCCAAACAGCAAAGTTATTGGTATGAGAACTAAGGTGCATTTGATCCAAGTCATGGTATTTTCAATCACTTCACATGCATGTGAAAGTTAAACAATGAATAAGGACGACTGTAAAAGAATGGATGAATTTGAATTATGGTGTTTGAGAAGAACATCGAAAATACTATGGAATGCCAGAAGAACAAATAAATCTGTCTTGGAATAGGTGCAGCCAGAATGCTCCTTGTAAGCCAAGATACAAGACCTCATCTCTCATACTTCGAAAATGTTAAGAGGGATCAGTCCCTGGAAAAGGACATCATGTTTCAAAAAATGGAGAGTCAGCAAAAAACAGTAAGAGCCCCTATGAGATAAATTTACACAGTGGCGGCAGCAATAGGTTCAAATGTAACAACTGTGAGAAGAGCATGGGACCAGCTAGTGTTTCCTTCTGTGTGCGAAGGTTTGCTCTGAGTTAGAACTAACCAGGTGGCACCTAATAACAACAACAGTCCCCAAAGACTATGTTTTACAACCTACTTTGGAGAGTAGCACCTGGGATCTTAAAAGAGCATGAATGACCATCTTAAGTGCAACTATGGGTCCTCTCCATGTACAGAATAAAGAGGAGTGATGAAAACTGAAGATGCTTGGAATCAATTAGTCCAGTGAACTAAAGAAACACATGACCATCAGTTTCCATGAATGAGTCTGAGACCAGAAGAACTAGATGGTGCCCAGCTACCACTACCAACTGCTCTGAACGGGATCACATTAGAAGGTCCCAGATAAGGTGGGAGAAATGTGGAACAAAACAAAAAAATATTTTTAAAAACGGCCAGGTTTACTTGGTCAGAAAGAGATTGGGGGAACTGGGAACTTAAGATGATGGTACTCAGCCACCATTCATCATCTGGACCTTAACTGACCTTCTTGGTCCAATTTTCAGCCAAGTAGTGGTAGATAAGGATGGGGGGTGAGGGTGGGGAAGACAATAATACAACAACCATGGAATGGCCAAACATTCAAGATCAAAAGGGCAACATTTCCCTAATGACAGCATTCAAAAAGGATAGGAAGGCAGGCAGAATAGAAATAACCACAGGGAGGAAGAAGGATAGCTGCTGATACACGAAGAGACAAAAATTGAGAGAAAACCAAGTGTATGGTTTGTTCATTGTAAGACTGATAATCTGTTCTGTAAATTTGCACTCAATTCACAATTAAAAGTTTCAAAAAAGAGAAGATCCTTACGTGGTTTGAATGCATGTTAATATGTGAGAAATACTCAGATTATTCATGAAACGGATTTCTTAATAAAAGTGATATTGGTGGTGGTGGTGGTGGGTGTGTGCTACTGACTTGGTTCCATCTCATAGGAACCCTGTATAGGGTTTCTGAGGCTGTAAATCCTTATGGGAGCAGAAACCTTCATCTTTCTCCTGTGGAGCCACTGGTAGTTTCAAACTACTGACCTTGCGGTTAGCAGCCTAACTCATAACCCACTACACTAGCCGGGCTTTTAAAAAGTGATATTACTCCTCATCAATTAAAAAATTGTACTTGGTAAAACAGTTACTTAAATGCTGCAAAAATATGACTTTCAAGTTTATATTACTTGACACCTACACTACCTTAAGGAGCTCTGGTAGCGTAGTGGTTACGAATCGGGCTGCGAACCTTAAGGCCAGCAGTTCGAAACTACCACCTGTTCCGCAGGAGAAAGATGAGGCTTTCTGCTCCCGTAAAGATTTACAGCCTCGGAAACCCCGTACAGGGTCGCTATGGGTCGGAAACGACTCGACGGCACTTAACAACAACGACAACCGTACTTGAAGTGTATGCCTTTATAGCCACTTACCCATTCCTCTCTCACTACAGCGACTAACAACAGCACGCTATCTGGTAACACCTGATTCTCATTCCACAGGCATTAATTGTCCTTTAACACGGACAGCAGACTGTGTTCTAGAATATGACTGTAATCAAGTCCCCAAATAACTGTAAGTCCATCTGAGCTGTAAGTCACATTAGATTGTTTGTTAGATGTTATCAAATCAAATCCAATTCATAGTGACATTGTATAGATTTTCAGAGACTGTAAATCTTGTTGGGAGCAAAAAGCCTTATCTTTCTCATAAGGAGCAGCTGGCGTGTTTGAATTGCCAACCTTGTGGTTAACAGAGCACAGTACAAATGCCATACAAATGATACCAAATGATATGTAAGTCAAGTGAATCGAACGAAGTAAGTTATTTGATGAAGGTGATTATTGAATTTCAGGAGAATCAAATGTTTTAGCTGGCAACTATTCTTGGCACCATCAAAAAAGGGTATCTGTGCTAGTTCTTCAAAAGACAACATGAGTTTAGAAGTCAGGAAAGCAGGAATAGGATCCTAAGGATAAAGAAATGCAAAAACAAAGGGAAGAAAAAGGGTTCATAGGAATGGGCAACTCAGACATTGGCTACCTAAAATGGGGACAAGGAGGGCTATGAAAACACGAAGTGGCTGGCTTACAAGTATTCAAGAGGGAGTTTAGTTTAAGAGTGTGGGGGGGATAGTCCCCATTGAATAGTTTTCAACTTGTCTAGATGGGTCTGGTGAAAGGAGATTGGGATAACTCTTATGATTCAAACTTATCATGATTAATTGTGATTGTCACAACTCTAAAGGTGGAAGCTTTGTAACATAAGTGGGGGGAGTAGTTAATCTTACATTCTAGGAACAAAGGACCTTAGGACCATCAATAAAGAAAAACATGAGGAGAATGTGGGACCCTAACCAGAGAGGCAGCAACACCAGAGATGGAGCCAGAGATGATGACGTGGAGACAGAGGGCAGCTGACTCTAGACCCATGGAAGGAAAATGGATATGTACTGGCTGCCAGGAGGCAGGCTTGCAGAATGTGCCCTTTGATTGGTTAAATGATTATATATTCCTGAGTGTTTTTGTGAACATACCCCCTCCCCTGAATAAAGAGGGAATAGTAGCAAATACTGTTGAATGATGATGCATGAAGGGCACTGTAATCATTGTAATAAAATGAAATATGATTGGATGAGTGCAAAACTGATGTTCTCCCATGTAAACTATCACTCAATTCACAATATAAGCTGTAAAAAAAAATTTTTTTAAAGCAAGACGACTATATATTCAGCATTTAACTTGTATATGTGTATATTTTTTATTTTTCTTTCAAAAAATAATGGGAAATGTGGCTAAAGAATCTACACTGAGTAATTTTGTTTTTATTATGATTTTAACAAGGAAGGGACAAGTTTAGGATAATGGCAGGTAGACTAACCTCTTCTGAAATCTTGGACATCAGGAATAATGTAATAAAAAAACCCCAAACATCTCCACATTGTAAGTCTTTATCTAGCTTTTTAACCACTATAACAAACAAAGAGCCTACACTGAAATTTTCTAGTAATCAAAAGCTTTTTAAAGTAATCAAAAGCTTCATTCCTTCTATAACTTAGTTGTTTAAGAGCTTCAGGATCTGTTTTCAGTAAACATCGCACATCACCCGGCAGGCTCTCTAGTACTGCTGGACAAGGTGAGAAAACTCAGGTCTTGTATTGCAAGAAATGAAGTCAGTGAAGACCAGGCTTTCTGGTGAATGGTGAGCCCAGTGAAGTACTGGATTGATATAAATTTTCTAGACAAGTGCAGAAATGGGGCATCTAACTAAGCCTGAGAATTAAAGACTTCCCTATACCACCTGAAAAAAATAAGGAAACCTGTTGCTGTTGTGTCCATTTCGACTCAGTGGCCCTAAAGTGTAGACTAGAACGATCCAACAAGGTTTCCAAGACTATAAATCTTGAAAGCAGACTGCCACGCCTTTCTCCCTCTGAGTGCTTACGGTGTTCAAACCCATGTTTAGGTTAGCAGCAGAATGCTTTAGCCACTGCACTACCAAGTTTCCTTTCTGAATAAATCAAAAGGGAATTAAAATACAATGAAAATGGAAACAAAAGAACAAAGAAGGGTTAAAAAATGGCTGAGTCATTGAATGTATTTGACAGAATAAAATTTATTACTCAGAAAAGTAAATCAATCTGGAACCATGAACTGGCCACACAAAAAAGGTAAAAGATCTCATTTTATTAATAGAACTATCTCTGCTCATTCAATGTTTTTCATATAGTAATCCTGGTGTGGCACTGTTGGATAAGCACTGGACTGCTATCTACAAGGTTGGCAGCCCAAATTCACCAGCCACTCCTTAGAAACCCTATACAGAGTTACTGTGAGTCAGAATCAGGCACTAACAACAATGACAATATATTAATGGAGTATCCA